TACAATTAAATTACGAGAAAATGAACCCAAAGACATATTAATTTTTTCACATAGATTTATTTCAAATCAATTCTATTTTTAAATACCAAAGGAATAGCAAATTCGTCTGCACGATTTAAAAGTAATTGATATTTTTTAAAATCAAACCTTATCTGAAAATTAGCCAAAAACGACGTTTTTCCTAGTATACAATTCAATACAATACGCGTTAAAATTGTTACTACAACAATGGCATCTTTGGAATTCAATTACACAAAAACAGTGCATAATTATAAAATTTTCAGAGTATGGAAATCAAAGGTAGAGAAATCATATAGGTAATTTTCATGGTATGTTTTCGAACAGTTTTCAAAGCCCTGCAAACCGCAACCTACGTTAAGTATCTCTGGTACTTTATTGACCTAAAATCATCAATCTTTGTCAGTTGATGCATCTTTGGTTTTCAGAGATTCAACTAAAAAGTAGGTCACAGTGACCTACTTTTACCATTTTATGGCTATATTTAGAAGTATCTCAGGCACTTATTGGCTAAGAATCATCAAACTTTGTCAGTTGAGGCATCTTGGGTTTTCAGAGAATGTCGAACAAAAAGTAGGTCACCGTGACCTACTTTTGAATATTTCAGGTACGTTTTACTTTTAGCTTAGAATCATCAAACTTTGTCAATTTAGGCACCTTGGGTTTTGGAGAACGTCAACCAAAAAGTAGGTCACTTTGACCTACTTTTGACATTTTATGGCTATATTTAATTATATTTGGTACTTATTGGATTGGAATCATCAAACTTTGTCAGTTGAGGCATCTTACTGTTTCATTGAATGTCCAACAGATGTAGGTCACGGTGACCTAAATTTGAATATCTCAGGTACTTATTGGCTTAGAATCAGCAAATTTTGTCAGTTTAGGCATCTTGGGTTTTGAGAATGTTTACCAAAAAGTAGGTCATGGTGACCTACTTTAGATTCACTGTGACCTACTTATGGTATTTTATAATTACATTATAATATCTTCAAGTCTTAACTGGCTAAATATTATCAAACTTTGTAAGTTGATGCATTTTGGGTCTTATGATACTAATAGAGTTGGAGGCTTCTAATAGAAGTGATAGATTGTTAAATTTATCAGAAGAGCGATTCAAGGCCCTTGGGCCTCTTGTTTTATCTATAAATTCTACTCACGATAAATGTATAAATCTGTTGGAAATTATCATTGCAATCATGCTATGCACAGCTGCTAAACACCTCGGCGTTTTTGTACTTCAACCTTCAATGTAAAGCTTTCGCCAGTGTCTCCGTGTTTATAAGTGTTTTACGATAAGTATGCCTTTAGTTACTGAAATTGTATAATGTTTTTGATCAAATTGAAAATTAACTGGCTCGGACAAGTGTCTCAATCTATCGGATCCATCCATCCCTTTCCGGCGACCGAAATTCCTCCAACTTATTATCATCAAACTTCGGACGTGTTTAATTCTTGTGTCTTTTCAGCATCGATTATCAATTTTCACGAATAAAAATATTCCCAGAAAACAATCTGTTCACTATTACTGATCACAAGTAGCCTTTCACAAAATATTCCATTCGAAATAGATTCCTTAGCCTGATGAATTCGAAGCGTAACCGCCATGCAAGCCGATTTACACCTCGCGTCATTTTTCAAAATCTACGACGGACGGTTAGTGCAATAATTTAAATTCGAAAATATTCAATTGTCTGTCTCAAATGTATATATAAGTAATAAATAACAAGTTTATAAACTTCAATGGGAACTGAAGTGGGTCGGTACGTGATCAAATCTTCTTGAGAAGGCCTTCGGCCTTCACAGGATTTGATCACTTCAAATAAAGGAATTGTAGGGAATTGGATCATGTGTACCTCTTACTTTAGATTTATTTGGCCTTATTTTTATTGGACATTTGGTCCTACATATTGAAATTTTTTACCGACCCGACCTAAATATCCTAAATATAACCGGTAAAAACCGATGGTCTGGTGACTTTCGCATAGACTGCATTACCGATGTTATCTGCACGACGGTCATGCCAATAACTTAAGTTATTCGCACGACGGTGTGCTAATTATAAATATTTCCATTTACTACTGTAAACCAACTTTTATATGTGATGACTTTATTTTGCTATTTACAAGCAGTAAACTAGTTGGCGATGATTCATTTTCACGATCAGACCTTTTTCAATCTGTTTTAAAAAGACAGAGAGACTTTTAGCATGTTTAGTATCAGTTTGCTGCTAGAAATATTCGCGATGTCGAAGCTGTCACGAACTTTTCGAAAATATCTTGCATGTGAATAAAATTTGGTTAACAGTATTTTAACAAGGCGTTTTTACATCCTGCAAACAAGTTCGTCTTGTGACCATAAATTGATTGTTTAGTCATAATCGATCTACGTAGTTTGATAGTGATGTCATAAGTGATCTACGTTATAAACACATTCAATATATACCGTTGAGTTTTGAAAAAAAAACATTATGGGTTTCAAAGTCATTTTTTGAGTTTTATTGGGATGTTAAACTGGTTGGTCTCATGTACAAATCCCATAAAGCCCGAAGGGCTTAATGGAAGATTTGATCATGTGCAATTTGAAGATTTTATCATGTGTAAAAGGGTTGGTCATGTGATGAAATCACATAAAGCCCAAAGCGCTTTTTTAGAAAATTTGATCATGTGCCAACCAGTTTTACATCCCAATAAAACTCAAAAAATGATACCTTATTACTTATATTTATTTTACATTTGTGTCTTATATTTACATTTGCAACTGAATCATTAAAAAAAGTAAGGTACTGAAGTTTTAAATCCATAAGAGATTTACATTTTTTCAATACTCAGCAGTATTATTTGAATGCGTTGAACACGTAGATCACCTATGACATCACTGTGAAATTTATACGTATATTGCTTATGACTAAACCATCAATTTATTTTCACATGACGAGCGTATTTTACCGAGATGTAAAAACGCCTTGTTCAAATAGTGTTATATAAGGGCAAACATTTGCAAATGTAAATATACTATTATACTAACCTGCCAGTCCGTTTGTGATGCCCCCTCCATTATAAGAAGTGATCCATGCATCAAAGGAACCTTTATATGTTCCATGTATGTGTAATCACCATTCTCCTCCTGCAAAGTTAACAGAATGATAAAAATACATAAAGAATAAAGTGCACTCCTAGGGTATATGAAATGCATATCTTTTTAAGCATATTCATAGCCATAATTTGTGACCTGATAATTTGTACTCTCACGTTTTTAAAAGCTTAGGTACTTCATGTATGATGTATCTACTTTTGGTGTTGCAACACATCTTCATCTAAAAAGACCTTAACTGGACAAATCTGATGGTCCAAGGTTAAAGTTACAGAATTCAAGATAAGATCATGATTGTTTATTTGATATGATAATTTTTTTGCGACTTCTAACAAGGTTTGGTGGTTTTCGAGGCCTCATTGACACAGAAAACTTACAAATAGTCAAATTGGAAAATGGGAAAAGATTATGCCATCAGAGATAGGTGGGTGTATAAACAGCAAGAAAGGCACAGCTAGCAGATAATGTACATGTTAATTACAAGTTTACACTTACAGGGGGAGGCTTCTTTCTGAGTTCAAAGTTTCTAGTGTCTCCAAACGACAGTGATGCAATGGTGGGTTCCAGCCCCAGAGAATGTTCATCATCAGAATGCCAGGCCACAGAGTCATGGCCGTCACGATACAGATTAGCAAGCATGGAATTGAAGTGGATCCCTGTTACTTCCTCCAGGCGTTCCTTCAGCATCAGCAGAGTGGGGTGCCACTAAAAAACAGGAGGATAGTACAGATAAACAGAGTGTGTTAATGATACACAATGGAATTCAACCTAATTCTAATAAAAGGCTTGTACAAAAGAGCTAACGTTTTTGAGAGCTCAACAAAATTCCTTATGCATCCTACAGAAATGTTTGCAAGGGCTTGCTGTGTTGGACAGGCCTAAGTCCTGCACATTACAAGCATAAATTCTAATTACAGTAAAACTTGCCTCATCCTGAAACCACTGGTAAACAAAGAAATTGGTCGAAATAAACAACAGTCTCGATTAGACATCTTTTTTTTAACAAATAAATTTAAATGAATGGGACTTAAGTTTAAGTCATATCAAGCAAGATTTTGTATTACACAACATGCATATTAGACATTCTAGATATATATCACCAGAGTTGTGGAAAACTTTTTCAGATAGCCGGTCATTCGGACCGGCAAGACAACAAAATAAGCCGGTCCGAAGTGATTTTTGTCGGTCCGAAATTGAAAGTTGCAAAATGGAAAAAAAGCATAACATGTATTCATTTTATATCAAATCTATTTGATAAATCACGTTGTTAATAAAATAAAATTCAGTCTCCATTTCCAAGTACTCGTGCATTTTCTTTTAATTTTGCATTCATAACAATACTAGATCGATACAATAATACCATCATTTTTTGGCAGGAGACAATGCTAATTCAGCACAGTCAAAGCAATTTTTAAAAACATTTATACATTTTGGAATTATATTAACCTAGAATTCTTTGCATCGATAATCTGATAATAAACATATCAACACGAATGGAGAAAAAACGAAAATCCGGGACAGTCGGAAATACTAGGTTAAATGCCTTCTCCTGACCTGTGCTTGAATTCTTTCTGTTGAAATTTTTCATATTTAGCTAGTCTTTATCTGACGTTTTTCTTTAATATGTTTTCTACCTAACTGGGCCCAATTTGTGCATTTAAAAGGTCATGAGAACAATGCTACCTTTCGTTTTCATTTACAGCCTCGATCTCGTTTAAAGAAAAGGTATTACGTAATCACATATATAAGATACGATAATTAAGATGGGAAATGCACAAAACAAAAAAAAACCTTTAAACCAATAAGGGGCCGGTCTTTGTATATAAATGAAAGAAATTTTTACCGGTCATGCAAATTTTAAGCCAGTTTTGCCGGCATGACCGACAGTTTTCCACAACTCATCTGATATCACTCTAACAGCAATAATGGTATGATGTCAGGATTTTTGCTATTTTGATATTGTATTAAGAAATTTGAATCATTTCTGCAAAATTTTCATGAATGACCCTGAAATGACCTGTATATTTTTACCTCTGGGCACGCCTGATGAGTGAGGCCTGAGTAGGAGTAGGGAATATCTCCGTACCACGCCGTCAGCCGAGGTTGTAGGAATGACTCCCCCGTCTTCTTCACATCCGACCTCTGTCTCCATGGCAACTCGTGATACAGAGCATCGTAAATTACATTAGCTTCCTCTGGGTCAATAAAGATTGGAAAAAATCTCAGCCTAAAAACAGATTAGACACACATTAGGTTTGCTTCTAATTTATTCCATCCAGTCTCTTAAACGAAAAACTTGAATATACTTCTTTTCTCTTTTTTTGTAATTTGGATAAACCCCAAGGTCAAGGTAAAAAATTATTTTATGCATGTAAAAGTCTTTTCAATAATATAGAAATGGCATTGCAAATGTGAAATATTAGTGTTGTTACGATAATTGCCAACTATCGAAAAATCGTCGTTAAAAGGCCCAGGTCGGCGACAATCGATTGTAAATATTATTATCGATAGATCGCTATATTTTTCATGTCGTATTTTTTAAGCCGAAGTCCATACTTTTATATTCACCAAAGGGAAGTCACTCTAATCGGCGGTAAACAAAATGGCAAACGTGCATGGTGAAGAGGTTGACGCCTAATTATATCAATATCCTGGTGCAATACGATCTAAAGTTCGAAATTTTTTGGCTTTCTGAAAAAGGGCGATGGGCCTCCATGCAAAAATAATATACAGATGGACTCGGTTATTTGTAAATTGTGTAAAATGTCGTCTGCCAATAAAGATAAGTTGAAGTTCGCGGTCAAATGTCATGGAATTCTACTCGTGCTGAATTAATAAATTTAACCTTTTTAATATATAGTTCAAATTATCGATTATGTAATCAATTGTGTTCTTCCGATTCAATTTGATAATCGATAGTAAAATATGTCCGATTTTACAACACTATGAAATATAAAAGCCCTATAGCATCAACTATTCAAAACTTAATGCCAAAATTAAGGCTAAAGTTTGATAAAATTATGCAAAAATGAGTCTAATTCCAAAGTCAATGCTAAAAGGTCAAATATGTTGTTATCTTAAGAAAAAGCATTGCAATAATTTTGATCATAAGGAACACACATCAAATATGGAAGCAATATTTCTAACCAACTCAAAAGTTTTGGTGCAGGTTTTAAGTTTTTTCAGACAGACAGACATCTGAACAGTGCAAACTTTTTTTGCTCCTGAAACTCCCAATACGTGGCATAATAAAAACAAACAGTAATGATTATGCTTCTTGAATAATTATGCAGTATTGTGTGACCTTTAACCTCTCACCTGGCTACTCCTGAGGGTTCAGTGCTGATATCATATACTCCTGCTTTGCTGAAAATAAAAAAAATCTGTCAATTATACTATAATACCGAGTCTTTTACATATCACTAGGAAATCTTAATGCTGCTGATTATCAGTCCAATGCTGAAGTTAATTAATATGCATTTTGTCAGAAATTTTTCATTCCTCATGATAGCACTACCAAAACCATACTATCTTTATCAATACTAACAATACTAGTACAATGGAGCCTCATTTATCTGGACGCTTTGGTTCCCAGTCAATTTGCCCGGATATGTGAAGCATCCGGATACTTGAAATGCCAGTTAAACAAGACAAATAACATTTCAAAATTCTGTTTCGATGAAAAGTTGTCCGGATACTGAAGCATCCGGATATCGGGTGGCGTCCGGATATCTGAGGGTCCACTGTAGATACTAGATAGGATGTTAAATTCTTGAGCTGATATAGGATCCTGGATGACCTCTACTTTGATTGATGGCACAAATCTTTTAACAGGTCGGAGAGAATACTCGAAATCGGGTATTATCCGTGAAATCGCGTATAATACTCGATATTGGGGTATCGTTGAATCCGCGAAATCGGGTATTCCGTGCAACTTTCTATAAAAACTAAAGACGTTGCGCACGGTGTTGGTACTATAATATCTAACTCTTTATGTCACAAAGAAATTGGCGGTTTTGCGATGTTATATTTACTTTAAATTAAAAATAAAATCATTTATGTTATTTAAAGTAATGAATAATTCTTAAAAATTTCTTTTGAATAATTTAAAATTATTTTAACTATGATGAGGCATTATTCATTATTGGTCATTTATGGCGAAATTCCCGTGTCCGACGTTACATCAATTATTGTTCGCGCAACTAAAAGGTATGAAAAATGCACTTATAATTCTTTGAATTAAATGAAATTTAGGGGGTACAATAAAATATATCCATTTTTTAAGATATTGCTGAGTTTTTAACATAATTTTATCAATTTCATGAATTTAGACTGGATCTGCAGTGCTTAAGTAAAATGTCTAACAGTAAGAAATCGTTTCCTTACACTGACATTAGCCGAAATGGAGATGTGTACTAGACATAAATCCCAGTCAAATATTAATTTTGGTGAATAATCTTTTAGTACATATATTTCTTAGATTAATTGAATTGATACATTTTATATTACTTTTCCAACGTTAATATTAGGAAGGCTTTCTTAAGTGTAGCCATTTTGTTATGCACGCACGAGTCACTGTAAATTGTAATGTTACTAAATATGTCTCAGTAAAATATCAAAAATATATAAAATTATTCTAGATATACAGCAATTATTGATGTAGCTTGAAAGAACATTTAATGCTGCATTTACTAATTACACAATCTTTACAGTAATAGTCTACATGAAATAAATGCAAGCATAAATAAAAGTGTAGCCATTTTGTCACAGGTACGAAAAACGTCATTTTACGCAATGCGTACACATGACGTCGGGAGCGTCAAATTATTATCATCGTGGCTTTTTTCATGCAGGTCTGTAGTATCAGCTCACAACTACTTGTGGACATGCAGGAACCACCCCCACCCCATCCCTGATATACTGTGAACCCCGGGGCTTGTTGGAGATTTTTTCACAAATTATATTTATTACAAATCATCATGCGTACAAATACCAAAGGAAAAAATTATGAAAACCCCAAAATGATATCGTTCCACAAAAAATACCCTACTAAACGAAGTATGCATTATAAGAGTCCCCCCCCCCTTCTTTCACCAAAAATAGTAAAAAGATTTTAGAATTTTCGTGATAAACCAGATTTTCAATAATGGTGATACATCTTCATCCCTCCTTTTTTTCATTCCCTCTATATACTAAATTGATACTTTTTTTTAATTCAAAATGACACCAGTTCCACTGAAACGTAGGAAGTATAAAAATTTTAACTCTCATTTTTTCTCTATACACCCAAAGCGCACGCGGACGCTATATAGAAATAAAAGACTTGTAATGACCTAATTGAAAAAAAAATTGATTGACTGATTGTATACTGTTTAACGTCCCTCTCCAGAATATTTCACTGATATGGAGACGTCACCATTGCCGGTGAAGGGCTGCAAATTTAGGCCTGTGCTCGGCTCTCAGGGCCATTGAGCGGGGAGGGATCTGTATCGTGCCACACCTGCTGTGACAAGGGGCCTCGGTTTATACGGTCTCATCCAAAGGACCGCCCCATTTAGTCGCCTTTTACGACAAGCAAGGGGTACTGAGACCTATTCTAACCCGGATCCCGACAGGGAATAAAAAAAATTGAAGTAGGTTGAAAGGGAATACTACTTATCCTTATAAGACAGACAAGGGAGAAAAAAAGAAAGAGGAATATTCACTGAGTGCCTTTGGCATTTCAGTAATTAAAATCTTTATTATTAAGATTTATTAATAAACATCTAAAATCTTAAAATATTATTTTTTTTATACATTTGAAAAATAAAATTCATTTAAAGATCTAAAATCTGCATGAATGAGGTTCAATACATTATAACAACGTTATGACTTTTTAACGTTATTTTGACGTAACGTCGGTATGTACCAACACCGTGCGCGACGTGACAGCAACGGCGCATTATGCCAGTAACTGTTACTTGTACATCAGTATCTAGTGGATTTATTTTTATTAAATCTAATTCATACGGTTGTCAGATAAGTTTAAAATCACAGGACAAACACTGCTGGGGTAACAAAAAGGACACAATGGTGTTATTATTTTTCAATATAATTTCTAAAAACAAATAACTACAATTCGTTTATCTTTATTTCCCATTAACATGATTAAAGTATTCCGTATACTTAATTTTCTAATTTGTGCACTATTCACAAAACGTGAAATTTTAAAGAAATTAAACGACTAACGCCGTGTTATGTATTTTTACTAAAAAATGTATGGTGTCCCTTTCACGTGAAATATAAATTATTCCTAACAGTTAGAGAGTACAGTATAAGCGAGTCATAATTAAGTGTTTTTTTTCACTACTTTGGGACTGGGGGCTGGGGCCCTCAGAATTTGGAATTTCAGCATCAATAATGCTAAATTGGGAATCTCCCGGAAAACCCAGTCACTTTTAAAGCATTGTCAAAAAGCTTTGTTTTTGTCCTTGTATTACTTTAACAAACAATTGTTATAACAAAAACATGACTATTTTTGGTATGAATTATCTAATTACTTGCATCAAGAACAATAGTTGTATGAATTATCTAATAAAGAAATCCAACATGGGTGAACAACAAAACCTGCTTGAACTGCACTGAAAAACATGCAATAAACAAACTAAATTTTATCACATATTTTGTACGTTTCTCTTTGGGAAAACTTATACTACATTTTGGGAAAATACAGGCAAATTTTCAATTGGGACTGGGGCCGAATTTTGGCCCCAAAGCGGCCCTAAAAAAATCACTGTAATTGTATATCTCTGCCATAATAGAATACCAACGTTATTATAAAGAAGAAAATAAAATAAGATTAAATAAATACCCACGGGAAAACAGTTTGAAAATAGCTAATTGAAGGTGAGTATCTTTTTAGCTCTACTGGTCAGAGACCAGAAGAGCTTATGCGATAGTGATGCGTCCGTCGTCCGTCCGTCTGTCTGTCTAGCTGTCCGTCTGTCTGTAAACAATTTTTCAAAACGCTACTCCTCCTACAGTTTTGGTCTGATTTTAATATAACTTGGCACACAAGTAGACTACACAAAGATACATAAAATAATGCATCGGATTTTTATTTCGATGACCGGTGTTGCCATGGTTACTAAAAATAGAATTTTCTGTGAAATTCCTTTAAAATGCTACTTCTCCTACAGTTTTGATCTGATTTCAGTATAACTTGGCACACAAGTAGACTACACAAAGATACATAAAATATTGCATCGGTTTTTGATTTCGATGAATGGTGTTGCCATGGTTACTAAAAATAGAATTTTCTGTGAAATTCCTTTAAAACGCTACTCCTCCTACAATTTTGATCTGATTTCAATATAACTTGGCACAAAAGTAGACTACACAAAGATACATGAAATGGTGCATCGGATTTTTATTTCGATGACCGGTGTTGCCATGGTTACTAAAAATAGAATTTTCTGTGAAATTCCTTTAAAATGCTACTCCTCCTACAGTTTTGATCTGATTTCAGTATAACTTGGCACACAAGTAGACTACACAAAGATACATAAAATATTGCATCGGTTTTTGATTTCGATGAATGGTGTTGCCATGGTTACTAAAATAGAATTTTCTGTGAAATTCCTTTCAAACGCTACTCCTCCTACAATTTTGATCTGATTTCAATATAACTTGGCACACAAGTAGACTACACAAAGATACATAAATTAGTGCATCGGTTTTTGATTTCGATGAACAGTGTTGCCATGGTTACTAAAAATAGAATTTCCTGTGAAATTCCTTTAAAATGCTACTCCTCCTACAGTTTTGATCTGATTTCGATATAACTTGGCACAAAAGTAGACTACACAAAGATACATAAAATAGTGCATCGGATTTTGATTTCGATGAACGATGTTGTCATGGTTACTAAAAATAGAATTTTTTTGTGGAATTCCTTTAAAACATTACTCCTCCTACAATTTTGATCTGATTTCAATATGACTTGGCACACAAGTAGACTACATAAAGATGCATAAAATAGTGCATCCATTTTTGATTTCAGTGAATGGTGTTGTCATGGTTAATAAAAATAGAATTTTCTGTGAAATTCCTTTAAAACTCTACTCCTCCTATAATTTTGATCTGATTTCAATATAACTTGGCACACAAGTAGTCTACACTATTATACATAGAATAGTGCATCAGATTTTGATTTTGATGAACTGTGTTGCCATGGTTACTAAAAAAAGAATTTTCTGTGAAATTCCTTTAAAACGCTACTCCTCCTACAGTTTTGGTCTGATTTCAATATAACTTGGCACACAAGTAGACTACTCTAAGATATATAGAGTAGTTCATCAGTTTTTGATTTTGATGAAAGTGTTGCCATTGTTATTAAAAATAGAAATGTGTGAAATTCCTTTAAAACGCTACTCCTTCTACAGTTTTGGTCTAATAGCAATGGCTTCTTTTCTCATCCTTTGTTATAAGCACAAACCAGTAGAGCTACAGTCTCAACAGAGACTTCTGGTTTTATGTCAATTTAGCATGAAATTTTTATTCAAAGACACAGTAATTTTTTTAGTTGCATTTTAATCGATACAAGATATGCTATTTTACCTTTATTTTATGCATTTGTGTGAAAATTGAGAGCGAGAAGTCATATGAACAGGATTTTCTTGTTTTTTTTTGGGGGGGGGGGGGGGAAGGGGGGGTTATTAATAAAAGTCAAATGTGTACATCTTTTCATGAGCTTATAATACATTGAATTTCTCAATATAGATCGAGGTACAGTTATATTGAAATATGAAATACATAGTTAAGTTTTCACATTTCTTATAGTTTTTACGTTTATGAACATGTTAGTGAACAAACTGAAATAATGGAGTGTTCAATTGCCTTGAAAACTCTTGTCTTACTTTTTGGGAATATAATTCCTCATGGGACATTAAACTTTAATAAAAATCGTAGCCACTTCCTTTCTTTATTATTCTTTATTATACTATTTGATAGACAGGGTAAATTTTACCTCTTTACCTTCTATATTTTTTTTTTTATATCGCTATCTTATACCTCGATCATTATAATATGCTAATACAACGCACTATCTGATTGGTTCTTGACAATATGTCACAGTTTTTTTCTTTTAGTTATTTTATCTATGATACGTATTACTCATGCAGAACTTTTCCTAATATACTCATCTATAATGAAAAAATGTGTTTAAAAAATAAACATGAATTCTAGTTACTTGTAGTCTCATATTGTGTTAGAAAATAACAGGTTGCTTTTTGTTTACCTACAATGTAGATGATTTTTATTTGATGAATAAATCTTACCTACAATTAAAAATCTATGACTGAGTTTAACCGACCGTGACATTCAAAGAGAGGTCTCTTGTACACATGTAGAACACAGTCGAGGTTGTTTTGTCAGAGGTGGTCAAGAAGCCTTTGCCCCCCCCCCCCCCCCCCCCCCCTTTGAAGTTGCCAAGAAATGGTAAAATATTGATGACTTAGCGAAATTAAACGATCAACAGTTATGTTCTCTCATAAGCTGTATATTCCAGAAACTA